ATATTTAACTTTATAATGCTATAACTTATTGAAAAGTTTATGGATCCACACAATTTTTTTATGAGAAATAATATTTTTTAATAAACCCTTTTTCATTCGACATACTTTATCTTAATCGAGATATTAAGGAACCAGCAGATCAAGTAGCTTTTGGAATAAAACACAAATTTTTTAAAATTAAACACTATCTAAAGATTTGCATCGAAGCGTTTATTTTTGATAGTGATTTTAATCACTGTCAGATATCATTATACTTGATCCAACTATACCACGTCACAACTTTGCCGCGAACCCCTGTGCTGGGTTTTTTTTATTGAAAAGTATTGTATTAAGCCCTTTAAATTTTTATACGCATTAAAAGTAAAGAAATATACGAGTAGTTTATTATTTTTATGATATCTTCGAAAAAATTTTAATATTAAATTATTGAATATCAATTTCATACCAAATTTCATTACTATAATTATTATTTGTTCATATAATGTAATTATAAATCAAATAAATAATCGTGATAAAATTAAGGAAATAAGAGTTATTGTTGTTTTTGAAATAATCTACAAATTTCTTAAAATTAAACACTATCTACAGATTTGTATCGAAGCATTTCTTATGATAGTGATTTTAATCACTGTCAAATATCATCTATACTTGTCCCAACTATGCTACGTTCATACTATGCTGCGACCCTACTGTGCTATCGTTTTTTATCTTATAATTATTATAAGATAAAAAACAATTATTGTTGCTTTAGAAATTTTTATATCAAATTATTGGTTGACAATTTTACTGTGATAGTAAATTTTATATAAAACATGAACCTATAAATAAAACAAAGCAGCAAGAACACTGTGTGATGTGGGAAGAATACTCTTTAAAAAACACACAGATTATTCAATATTACCTTAATCGAATTAAAATTTTATACTTAACATTATTATAACTTAAAGTTTACATAAAAAAAAAAAACGGTATCACAGTAGGGTCGAGGCACAGTGTGGACGAGGCATAGATGGGACAAGTATAGATGCTATTTGACAGTGATTAAAATCACTATCATAAGAAATGCTTCGATGCAAATCTGTAGTGTTTCATTTAGAGAAATTGGTGGATTATTCCAAAAACAACATCAACTCTTATCTCTTTAATTATATCCTGATTAGTAGTTCTTTGATTTTAAAATATAATATATGAATAAATACTAATTATAGTTTTTAAATTTAGTATGAAATTGTGAGGCCAGCTATGATGTATGGTTCATAGTGTTGGGCGGTTGATAAGAAAGTAGAGCAGAGAATAAGTGTAGCAGAGATGAGAATGCTTAGTTGGATGAGTGGAGTGACTAGAGAAGATAGGATAAGGAACGAGCATATAAGAGGAAGTATAGGTGTTGCGTCAATCGTGGATAAGATGACAGAAAATAGACTTAGATTGTTTAGTCATGCTATGAAGAGAGAAGAATCGGAAGCTATAAGAACAGTTATTGAAATGAATTTTGAAGCAAGAAGAGGTAGAGGAAGACCAAAAAGGAGATCGAGGGATGTTATTGAATGCGACATGAGGACAGCTGATGTGAGCATAGAAGATGAGGGAGATCGTGTCAAGTGGAAACTTAGGATAAGGGTGGCCGACCCTAAGTAGTTGGGATTAAGGCAAAGAAAAAGAAAAAGTTTACCAGAAATTCCGGTGGCAATTGACATAATATGATTATTGTTTGGGAATGTACAATTTAGCGTTTAGTTGGGTTTAAACAATATAGTGTCAAATCAATTACCTACTCTATCGGTTGTATCTTAATATACACTACACTTAAATGATACTATAAATAAATAAACTCACACATACACGTATGCATTTATAACATTGTGTCTAATGTTTAACATGATAAAAAGTAATCGTAAAATGAAAAAAAATGGAATATAAATTTTCGTACTCATATTAAATGTAATGTAACTCGAAAAATATTTGTTTGAATGAAAAAATATACGATAATTTTTTTGTTTAGAATTGTCTTTTAAACAACTTTTGTACGAAACTTTTTTTTGTAAGTTAAATATTTTTTGAGAAAATTAAA